CCGTTTAAGGCCCCAATTATGTAAGTCGAGTCGAGCGTCGAGTGTCGAGTAACTCGACACTCGACGCTCGACTCGACTTACATAATTGGGGCCTAAAACTACATTCCAAGCGAACAGCGGAGATAGAGAATAAATAAAATCTCGCAGCCTGGTTTTTCCAAACAGTTTATTGTAATGAAATTTTAGCTGCAGGCTTGTGTGTGACAGTAAATTACCAACTTCCTTATTTACGCATAATTTTAACATCAATGCTTATGAGTGGCCAGTCTTCATTCTTATCTTTTAATTCCATGCAATAAACATCAAATAAATGCAGTAATTAGCCAGAAATCAGCAAAATTCTACACGACATAAATTTATGTCGCGCGTGCCGCCGGTCTTGTCTGCTTCTTTGTGCGAAAATGTTCTGTCGCTGGCAGAAAACAGTTAAGAAATGTCATGACATTTTTGCCGCTTGCCAGTTTGTTTTTGTGTGTCGTCACAATGGTTATCGCAAAAAGTATCAAATGTTAAGGAAAAAAAACAGGAACACGCTCTTGCGAAGTGGGCGATTTGCGTATTTTTAATAATCCTGGTAGATGATCCTTTGAGCTCATAAGATTCATAAGATTGCGTAATGCTTTTTAGCCAAAAGAAATCGAAATGAATTTTATAGATTTACCTTATGAAAATAATGTTGACCGGAATCGAACCATGAACATTGGCATTTTGAGACCAATGCTTCGACCACTCGTCTATTAGCTCTAGTTGCGTTCAAGAGCTACCTTGTTGAAAATTCCTGCGAGCAGCAAGCGTGTTTTCCGAAATCGAAAACACTCGGCTGCGGTGTTTGCCGAAGTCAGAAACACGCGGCTTTGGTGCTTGCCGAAGATCCATACACCGGTGCAAACAATTATGCACGGGCACCGGTACCGGTGCCTTGTTCGCTGCGTTTGGTGTTTTCTATCGAGCACTGGTACGGAGCGTACAGCTCAATGCTCTTGGTGGTGTGTAAAAAAGGCAGTACGCAGTGTAGAGTTGCGTTTAGACATGCCTGGTCTGTAGATTATTTTGAAATAAGATTAAAAATAGGGTCGTCTACTTTATTCAGAAGCGAAAAGAGTCGTTACACGTTTTTTCAAAGAAGTGTTTGTTTATAAATTAGATTAATGGGCACAAATGTTCATAATTAGCCAGAATACAGTCATGGTCCCTATATATATATATGGATCCTGGAGACATTGGAACGGTCCTCCCGAAGATTCGGAACATCCGTAAAATTGGTCAATCCACGAAACATCCTAGAACCCCACGGTTTTTTTTTGAAAACTTTAGGAACTGTGATTTAAGAAAGAATTGGGGTTCATGACATAAACACGGACCCGGATGGCCATAGGAGCGTACTCAGGAATATCCGAAACGTCTGTAAAAATGATCAATCCATGAAACTGATCCTAGAGCTCCACGATTTTTTTTCGAAAACACGTGGAAATGTGATATAAGAAAGAATTTTGGGTCGTGACATAAAAATGGACCCGGATGGCCATGGGATCATCCTCCGAAAGATACAGAACATACGTAAAAAGTGTTTCATACATGAAACTGTGAAAAAAACCGTGATTTTTTTTCGAAACTTCACATATATATATATCTACATATATATTCCAAGTGTTTTCGAGAAAACCGTGACGTTCTAGAATCAGTATCATCGATGCATCATTTTTACGGATCTTCCAGAAGACGGTTTCATTGTCAATCGGGTCAATGTTTATGTCATGATCCCAAATTCTTTATTATATCACAGTTTTAAATGCTGCTATCGAAAAAACCGTTGAACTCTAGGATCAGTTTCGTGCAGGGCTGGAAATCATCTCAGAGCGTTAGCAAAGCAACTTTGTGCATGCATCTCACAACGCTCGACGAAGAGTGTGTGGTTCTCCCATTTGCTTCGCACACTCTTTTCCAACTAATCTGTGAAAAAGCGATCCACACAATGAGCGGTACACTCCGTGCGACGTAGGGAGCGAATATAATACAACAACCGCTAAACTCTTTGCAGACTTTCCTTAGCACAACTGCATGCATAGGAGATGAAGAAGGGCATAAAGAAGAAGAATTTTGGCTTTTTTTTCTGGGTTTCCCATTTGCAACCCTACACTGAGTGACGCTCTTTGCGTCGGAGCCGTCGGAACGAAGGCTACACATTGAGCTTTCGTTATTTTTGGGTGTGTTTCTGTCTTCTCTTCTCCGCTGCTTTACACTTGTGCAGGGTGAAAGACAAGCAAACTTTATGTTTGCTAGATTATCACTTTGTTTATTTCAGAAATTCAGTAAATTGCGCGCATTGAGTGGTCCGATGACCCTGGTTTCGTGGATTGACCACTTTTACGGATGTTCCGGATCTTTCAGAGGACAGTCTCATGGCTATCAGGGCCCATGTTTGTCACGACCCCAAATTCTTTCTTATATTACAGTACCACGTGTTTTCGAAATAAACTGTTTCACATCTTCCGGAGAATGGTCCTATGGCCCTCCAGGTCAAGGTTTATGTCATGATCTCAAAATTCTTTCTTATGTCACAGTTCCTAATGCTTTCGAAAAAACCGCGGAGTTCTAGGATCAGTTTCATGGATTGACCATTTTTAAGGATGATCCAGATCTTCCGGAGGACGGTTCCATGGCATTCTAGGTACATGTTTATGTCATGACCCGTAATTAATTTACCGTATTCGTGATAATGTTTGCACCATCGTACAAATAAGGTTCCCGTTTAACCTGTGCATACAATGCCTTGGTTTTCTTTGCATGCACGTAACCTATAGCTCATACCGTAGTAGGCTGTGTATAGAACTTTTTGACGTTTAATCGTTTTTCTCTATCTAGCACACATGATTGAATGGACGGTTTGTTTTCCCACTAATCTGTTTCGCTCTTGCTCGTACTCGTTCGATTTAAATGGTGCAGTAGTGTGCGTCGATTAAACGTCTCTATAAAAGAAAATGATTTACTTAGTTTGACAGTTGCACCATGACGAAGTGGCAGCGTATTCGTGATTTGTCCCACGCGCAAATGTCGCAAAAAGACATTTCAATCGCCATGGGAGTGTTCCGGTGGACCGTCAAAAGGGTTTTAGACCGAGAAAAGAAAGGACAACTATCCGCGAAGGTGGCCACAGGTAGTCCGAGGTCAGCTCGGGTTCCGAGGGTTATCGCTGCTATCGAAAGGAAGATTCGGGTGAATCCAGTGCGTTCAATAAGGAAAATGGCAAAGGAACACGGGATCAGTGACTTTACGGCACGGAAGATCGCAAAGGAAGATAGCGGGGCGAAGTGGAGGGCAAGGAAAAAAACTCACATGATTACCAACCGCATCCGGGAGCTACGAGTCGAACGATGCGAAAAAATCCGGTAATCCTGTTCACCGACGAGAGCATGTTTGCCATCGATCCCGTAAAAAAATTCCAGAACCGACCGGTATATTAGTTCTCTTCCGGTAAAAGACGTGGCCGACGAGCACAAGAACGTGCACACTAATCGAGTCAGTACGGTTTTACCGAGTTTTTGAATTGCGGAACTGTTCGGTAAAAGTTTAAAAATCTGTGGAAAATTTATTAATGAGAATATTTGTTCTGAACTTGTACATACTTAGTTCTGTTAACTCCATTTAATGGTAGAAAATAAAATTGGTCGATTTCATTGATTCCTTACGGATAACGGTCATTTGAATTTTTACCGACTTTTTCAGTAATTCAAAAACCCAGTAAAAAAATACTGACTCCTGTAAAAAAATCTTAGTGTGTGTATCTGACCAAGCATCCTGCTAGCGTTATGGTGCTTGAATTGGTGGCTTCCGATGGCAAAAAATTGACCCGGTGTTCATTTCAGAAGGCGACAAGGTCAACACGGAGGTCTACATCGGGATTTTAAGTAAGTATGTTCTTCCGTGGATCAAAGAACAGTACGGTCCGAAGCCAAATGTTGTATTTCAACAAGATGGTGCTCCGTGCCACACCTCGAACCACACTCAGAAGTGGTTGCAGGAACATCTTACGTTCTGGGCGAAGGATATGTGGCCGCCATCCAGCCCCGATCTTAATCCGCTGGATTACTCAATATGGCGCGTCATGAAGGCCAAGGCCTGTTCTAAACGCCACCCGAGTACAGCAAACCTCAGACAAACATTGACCCGTACCTGGAGAGAAATGGATCCAGACTACATTATTAGAACCTGCCGTGCATTCCGGAAGCGTGTGGAGACCGTAATTGCAGCAAGTGGAAACTCGATCGATGATTAACATAGTTTAAGACTCTGAGAAACATCCCCTTTGAATAAATAAAAAAAAACTCGAATACGAAATTTTTGAGAATTTTTTAATTTTAACATTGCTTAATGGTGCCAACATTATCACGCATACGGTAGACCAACAATTGAAAAGGTAATATCAACTTTTATAAACAAAACGTTGATTACTCTTTCCTCGCCAATCGAAAGTAAATTACCATCGTCGGATAGGGGAAAGTTTCCACATCTTAAAGATGGTGTTAGTTTGTGTAGGCGAGCCTTGAGTCACGAGAAAACGGTTTGCGAGATTTTGTTCGCAATAGCTGATGTGCTCATTTCTGTTGTTGGTCGTGATTTGCTCGATTGGTTCCGCTACTATTTGACAGCTCAATTGGTTCCCGAGATTCTATCCGCAAGACCATGAATATAGCGACTTGACTTGATTCATGGCTGCACGTCCGCAGGTCGCTTCCTCCTGGTCGATCCACATTGCCTCTTCGTCTCGTTCCAGTCGGTACGTTATCGAGAACCATTTTGACCAGGTTGTCGTTCGACATTCTTACGACGTGCCCCGTTCACCGTCAGAAGATGGTGCAATTTGCGGATCATTCACCTCTTCCACGTTCCATCTTCCATCTGCACTCACTTTCCGTTCAAAAAACAGGTCCCACCGATTTCAGCAGCGTAAATCTGAACCATTGACACATATATGTAATCCACGCTCACTACTCCCGCCGTAGGTGAAAAGCCGCACGAGTGTACGATCTGCGGTAAACGTTTCATCCAGGCAACGCAGCTTCGTTCGCACATGTTCCATCACACCGGCGAGAATGGGTTCGAATGCGAGGAATGTAAAGTCTCATTCAACCGAAAAGTGCGTTTGGAGGAACACGTTCGTTACGTCCACCGGAAGGAAGCTCCAATGGAATGTGATATCTGTTCGAAAACATTCACCCGCAAGGAGGATCTCAGCCGTCACCTGGACACGCACAGTGTTTCGAGAAGTATAGCTATCTACCGATTCGCTTTTAAAATTATCAATAATTGATGGATTCCTTTGTCTTTGTTTAGATTATTCCTGCCCGCAGTGTGGGAAATCTTTCGTGTCCAGAACGGCGCTTAAGCTGCATCAGCGAACCCATGAGGTGGAAAACCCTTGTATATGCCCCATTTGCAAACATAAGTTCATACGTAAAGATTGCTTACGGAGACATATGAGGTCACGTCATCGGTAAGCAATTTGTGTCCAAAATAGTTCATTCCCATGTTCTAACATGTGTTCTTTTTTCAGTGATTGTCCTGAAGAAATGTTGGTCATTTCTGAAAAAGATGACTCCACCATAGATGCTCCACCAAAACAACGTGTTCTGTTAGAAATAGAAGAAGTCGACGAGCAGGAAGAAGAAGAAGTAGAACCCGAAGAGGACGAACAAATGCTGGAAATCGACGGCGAAGTCTATCAAATAACGCCGCTTGAAGACATCGAGTTGGTGAAGATCAATAGAAAACCCAAGGTAGCTAAAAAAGAAAAGGAGATTAAGGTTTTGGATGTAGTGGAAATAGCACCGCCAAAATTAGAACCCACACCCGAGCCAGTACCTGAGCCTGAACCTGTACCCGTTCCGGTTGAAATAAAGAAAATAAAGAAGCAGAAACGGAGTATTTCGGTAAAACCTAAAGATATACCGTCGAACGAAGAAAATTCCCTCCTAGTTCCAATTGCCGAAAAACCGGTCAGCCTGGATATCCCTGTTGCGTCTGGATTAGTCGAGAAACCACCAAAAGAGCGCAAAAAGCGTAAGCGAGCCGCAGAGGCTGATAGTGTTCCGGCAGTGCCACCGACCAGGATCAAGGTCGAACAGGAGGAATCCATCCCCATCTTTTTGAGTGATGATGCCCTGAAGAAGAAAGTGTCGGAGCTTTTGTGTGTGCTGATCGATGAAGAAGTGCTAACGGAGTTTGGCTGGCCAACGGCTCCCGTGCAGGATGTCCTGAGCGACGTAATCAAACGTTGCGGGCACAAACCGGCAGCGGATGCCGAAGTCGGAGATTGTAGCACCCGCATGCGTGAAAACACCAAGATTCTCTTTGCCCTCACGATGGAGGATGACAGCATCAAAACGTTGCTCAACAATCACACCATTGACGAGGTGATCACAAATGTTTTAAGAAATAAGTGAAGCGGGCTTGTCCCAGAGAACTGGGTAGCAATAAGTGCAATTATTCCCTTGAGAAGGCAAACGCTAACAAGAATCACATTGAGGCCTTTGATTGACGTTACATTTATTATTAATTTTTATACATTTATGTGCGTTTAGATTCTACACCGTGTAACATTTTAAGATTAGGGAGTTTCCGGAAATTGTATTAAATATCATCGCTTTGTACATAGCAGAATTACGAAGATAAAGCTTGTCCATTTCTATTGAAGAAATGAAAAAATGTTATTTGGTGATCCAAATTCTCTTCGTACATCTGGCAACGACTTTGTCGGTTAATTAATTATACATTACATATTACATTGTACATCTACATAACGTTTATAAGAAAAGAAATCGAAATTGTTTAAGTTAAATATAGTTGTTTAAGTTAAAAGTTTAGTTAAATTGAGATTTAGTGAAGCTTCAATCTTATCATTTATTGAGAAAGTATTCCTTGAATTTTGTGGATTCTTATTCTGTCATATCAAGTGATGCACTATGGTCAGACAGAATAGACGATTTAGTATGCTGCAGAAAAATATATTTTTGCTGTGACAGCAGTGTTGGACAGTCAATGTCACCCGTAAGCAGCTTTCCAGCGAACATAGCTTGAGCGACCGTCCGTCTTACCTCTAATGGTTCGATTCCTAGGATTCCCGCTCCTCGTACGGTGGCAAGTTTGTTGGGTCACGCCAGTTGAGGAAACGAAGAGCATATCTCACAAACTTGCGTTGAACGGATTCAATTCTAGTGATCCAGCTAGCATGGAAAGGGCACCAAACAACTGAACTTGACTCCAATAAGGATCGCACAAGCGAGCAGTAAAGTGACCTGAGGCATAGCGGGTCACGAAACTCGTCGGCAATTTGAAAATAAAGCCCAATTGTCGCTTAGCTCTGGAGATGATGCCATTGTAGTGGATTCTGAAAGTGAGTCAGTGAGTCTGCAGTCCAAGGTAACGCCGAGATCCTTTATGTGCTCTACACGAGCAAGACAGCGTCCGTAGAGAACATAGTCAAACATGATTTGTTCGATTTTTCGGTGATAGGAAATAATGTTACATTTTTCTATGCTTAGATTCATCAAATTTCTTGAGCACCAGTCAGCAAAAATACCTAACAAATTCTGGAGATCCCAGCAGTCCAAGAGGATTTTAATAATTTTGTATTTTTTCGTATCGTCTGCATGAAAACGCGGCATCAGCAAGGCGACGTCGTTTAAAAAGATCGAAAATAGTAGCGGTCCTAGGTTATTGCCTTGCGGAACTCCCGAGTTGTTTGAGAAATCATCCGATTCCGAAGCGCCAATCTTGACATGTACATAGCGATTCACCAAGTAAGATCTGAACCAATTCACAGCAGTTGATGAAATGCCAATTATCTCCAGTTTGGCCAGGAAGATATTATGGTCCACCGTGTCAAATGCAGCTTTTAGATCCATATACGCAGTATCGACTTGCCATCCCCCTCCCCATGGACATGGAGGTTGACGGTACTGAAGCAAAGGGTTATGTTTAATTTCTTTATATTTGCAACGATGATGATTTCCCATAGTGACACATATCACCTTCTTAATGCATCAGTATACCTCAAACGATTAATTCTTGGTTGTTAATAGAACTTCCTTGATGCAATCGGCTGCTTCATGCAGACTGAGCAATTCTGATTATAGTATCAGATTTGTTCTGTATACAGAGGAACTGGGAGGGCTTTCCTTACTATCCGGTATCGTAAACAGGATTCATTTGACCCCTGTGGTTATTATTCTGTGATGCCAAATCTATACCTCTACCCTGGTGCAGTATGGACAGCGATTTTTCGCTGGTGACTTGGCCCTATGACCCCCTTCTGAGCTTGAAAATGAAATGAAAATGAAATATACGCAGTATCGACTTGCCATCCTGAATCCATGCATCGCAGACAGTTATAAGTGAACTGCACCAGGTTCGTGGACACGAAGCGCTTCGGGTAGAAACCGTGTTGTTCTGTATCGATATATTTTTTACAGCGTGTGAACAGAGCACCATTTATGATAATCTCGAACAGTTTTGGTGATTCCTTTTTACATTGGGAACAGATAAGAAAGTTTCCAGCGGCAGGGGAACTCACATTGCTGTGCCGAGAGATTGAATAGCCTCGCAAGTGGAAGGCAGAGATTTGCTACACAACATTTTAGAACTGATGACGAATTGCCGTCAGGTCCAGCGGCGAACGAGAGCTTCAGTTTGCGTGTTGCGGTCTTCTGAAATGCGCGGAATAACGAAACTAAACACATCACGTGGCATCCCAACAGTACCGTCCAGCACTTGTGTTGGCGAAGCGGAAAAATCGTGGAACACTTGCTTGAAATGACGAGCAAACACGTCGCATTTTTCTCTTTTACTATTAGCCGAGTCATTCCCGAGAAACATGGAACAAGGCAACCCGGATTCCTTCCGTTTGGAGTTGACAAACGACCAAAAACTTTTCGGATTCGTGCGAAGGTTTGCTTCCGTGCGTCTCACGTGTCGATTATAGAGAAACCGATTGTAATTTCGATAACTACGACTCGCAAAATTGAACAGTCGTTTGTAGTACCTACGGCGAGCGAAAGTTACAATACTTTCGGAGGGCGGCAGAGCATTGACGTTTTAGCATGCGTAGGCGTGGGTTAGACCATGCAGGCTTTAGCGGAGGTCGTCGAGCTGGAACAATGCGGAAATAGCATCTTCCAGTGCAGCACTGAACAAAATCCACAGCATCATTCCCGCTAGCGGCTGCTTCGATAAATTGCCAATCAATTTCCGCAAGCACATTGTTCAATGCAACATAATCGGCCTGGCGAAAGTCCAAAGAGTAGCACTCAGATGACGGCGTAAAAAGAATCGGCGTAGGTAAACTAAATGACACGACGAGAGCGGGAAGATCGGCATCTAGATCAATCAGTGGTTCGACCGGCAAGGAAACAGAAGTGCCCGGTAGTGCGGAATCGTTTGCCAGGACAAGATCAAGTAAACGTCCATTTCGGTTCGGAAAAGTATTCACTTGTGTGAACCCGTAAAAGTTAAAACCGTCCAAAAGAGCACAGCAAGCAACCGGCATATGCGAAACTTACTTACTTACTTAAGGGTCCTGTGCACCACCAGCGGTGCAAAGGGCCAACGTGAAAGACTTCCATCCTGGGCGGCTGCTCGCTTTTGCCTTGACCTGGGCCCAGGTCAGATTTCTATCGTCTTGCCTAATTTCCTTATTGAGGCTCCGCCGCCATGAGCCCCTGGGTCTGCCTCTGCTGCGATGTCCTGCTGGATTCCAATCCAGCGCTTGCTTGCAGATTTCGTTTCCGCCCCGTTGAAGTGTGTGGCCGACCCACCTCCACTTTCGCTCTCGAATTTCTGTTGCTATAGGCTGCTGATGACATCGACGATGGAGCTCGGCATTCGAGATCCAGTTGTGAGGCCACCAGGCACGAATTATATACCGCAGGCATCGGTTGATGAAGACCTGCAGCTTTTGAGTGTTCTCCGCTGATACACACCACGTCTCGCTGGCGTATAACAACACAGATTTCACGTTCGAGTTGAAAATTCGGATTTTGGTGCGTTGACTTATCTGGTTGGATCTCCATACGTTTCGTAAACTCGCAAAGGCAGCCCTAGCCTTCTTGATTCGTGCATGTCGCTCTTGGTCCCGCCGTCCGACGCTATTTGGCTGCCAAGATATTGGAAACTTTCGACCTTCTCCACTGCTTGCCCCGCTACCGTAAAGTTGGAAGGGTTGCCCGTGTTGATATCCAACGATTTGGTCTTGTTGACGTTGATGGTGAGACCCGCCGCAGAGGAGCGTTCGGCTAGGTCATTGAGCTTACTCTGCATATCAGAGCGCCGTTGTGCTAGTAGAGCAACATCATCAGCCAAATCGAAGTCGTTGAGATGCTCCATAGTGATAGGCTGCCAAAGCAGCCCACGGTTCGGTACACGGTCAATTGCACCTACCATGATCTCGTCGATTACGATGAGAAACAGTAGCGGTGATAGTATACATCCTTGTCTCACACCAGCGACTACCCGGATAGGGTCGGACAAGGCTCCGTTATGCAGAACTCTGCACGTGAAAGCCTCATACTGCGCTTCGATGAGGTTGACGATTTTATCCGGGACTCCCTTGCGTCTCAGGGTGCCCCACAGATTCTCGTGATTGAGACGGTCGAAAGCTTTTTCGTAGTCAATGAATACCAAATAAAGGGACTCTTGGAATTCATTGACCTGCTCCAGGATGATGCGGAGCGTGACAATATGGTCCACACAAGATCTTCCGGCACGGAATCCTGCCTGCTGCCGTCGGAGAGTCGCGTCCATCTTCTCCTGTATCCGATTCAGGATAACTTTGCACAGAACTTTGAGAACAATACACAGTAACATGATGCCTCGCTAATTGTCGCACACAGTCAGATCCCCCTTCTTTGGGACCTTCACTAAGATGCCCTGCATCTAGTCGGCCGGAAAAGTCGCGGTGTTCCAGATATTACAGAATAGTTGATGCAACATTTGTGCGGATAGCATGGGGTCAGCTTTGAGCATCTCTGCTGATATGCGATCGACCCCTGGAGCCTTGTTGGATTTCATGCTTCGGATAGCTGCTTCAATCTCCTGCAGTGATGGAGCCTCGGAATTGACGCGAGTGATGCGCCGCACCCTAGGCGGATCATGCCGAGATGTTGATGGCTGGTTGGCCGTCGAAACTTGAAGAAGTTGTTCGAAGTGCTCAAACCAGCGTTTCAGCTGGTCAGTGGGGTCGGTAAGCGATTGTCCAGTCGTGTCCTTCAGTGGCATCCTCGGGTTCATCCTTGCTCCACTCAGGCGTCGTGAGATATCGTAGAGGAGGCGTATATCGCCAGTGCTTGCGGCTTTCTCCCCTTCGTCGGCCAGGGAGTTCACCCACGCTCGCTTGTCCCGTCTGCAAGAGCGCTTGACTTCCTTCTCTAGAGCCGTGTACCGTTGACAGGCTTCGTTCTTGGCTCCTCTGGTTCTCGCCCGCTCTATCGCGGCTTTTGCTTCTCTACGCTCCTCAATCTTCCGCCAGGTTTCATCTGTGATCCATATGCGAAAGCAGTGGATCAATTAATGGTGTGCCACTGTCTGTAAAGCGCCACTGCAGACCAGCTTGATTGTAGTCACCAAATACGAAAGCCGGAGAGCAGGGACTTAATTGTGACGAAGTTGAGCCTACACTGAAACTAGGACCATAGTTAGGAGTACTATTTTGCAGAAAACACTTATTCTCAATATAATCATGCTTATTACCGTTAAATCTACTATGAATTCAGTATAGTTGACTATGAATGTTAAAAAATTTAC